CACCGATTGGGCATCCCCTTCAGTGTCAGGCCTGGTTAGGGTGGCACTGGCCAGGTGCCCAGTTTTTGACCGGAAAATGAGGTCGAAAAGGGGACCTGACAGTGTCCAGTCAGCTCTAGTCCGATTGCCGTGTGTGTGTGTGGGGAGGGGCTGAGTCGTCAATCCCTCCTGCCCGTACTCAGCAAGGGCTGCCTCCTACCTGCATCAGACAGATGCAGCTCCCAGCCCCGGCGAAGTAGGTGAGTCCCTCCTGACCCGGGTGGGGGGCAGGAGAGGAAAAGCAGCTAATGATGCGGGGGGGAGGAGGAATAGATTGGGGGCAGGGCAAGGGTGAGGGAAGAGGTGGGGGGCAGGGCCTCAGGGGGGGGAAGACAAGAGGCAGGGCAGAGGAAGTTCTGGCACTCCTGCTGGAGTATCTGGTTTTTAAATATTACCAAGTTGGCCACCCTAGGCCTGGTCTGCACCAAAAAGTTACGTTGTCCTTGAGAAAAGTTGTTAAGCCAATATAAGGCCTGGTATAGACACTGCTAGGTCAACGGAAGAATTCTTCCACCTCTTGAGTGGATGGTTTTATTACCATGATGGAAAAACCCCTTCCATGGCTGTAGCAGGTGTCCACACTACAATAATGTAGCTAGCTGTGCTGCTGTTGCATCAGACCCTACCTTAATCCGAATTAACTTTCTAAACAAGGCCTTCTTGTTGAGAATTATTTACATCAGAATTAAAGAAGTTTGACACTGAGTTTATGGAAAGAGCTGTTGACACTGAAGGAAATAACTTTGCAGTATTTCAGGTTTCCAGTGTACCGTTGGTTGTGGGGCTCTGGCCCATACTGTGTCTCACATTTGGGCCTTGGTAGACTGACAGGCTTGGTCTGGCCTGATCTCACTGCCCTTTGGCAGCAGTGGAACATAAGAACGGCCATACTGGGTCAGCTCAAAGGTCCATCCAGCCCAGTATCCTATCTGCCGACAGTGGCCAATGCCAGGTGCCCCAGAGGGAGGGAACCTAACAGGTAATGATCAAGTGATCTCCTCCTGCCATCCAGCTCCACCCTCAGACAAACAGAGGCTAGGGACACCATTCCTTACCCATCCTGCTGCTCATGCTGCCAACCCAAATTGCAGTGTCTTCACTGCTATTTTATCGGAATTAACTAACACAGGTTTGCTAACCTGAGTTAAGAACACACCTTTTTTTTGTAGTGTAGAAATACCCAGTGAAGCTACTCCAGGGTTAACAAGTATGCAAGGCAGCGGAGAATCAGGTCCAATGTCTCACGTCCCTCTGTGAGAATGGCTGAAGCGAAGTCAGTATTTCAGCTCTAAACCAGCAGAGATCATTCTGCCTCTAGTGCACCGGTCCCCAAACTGTGGGGGTGTCCCCTCCTAGGGGGGCATGGAGGAACATCTAGGGGGCAGGGTCTGGGCCAGCCCCTGTGGAGGGTGGGAAGGGAGTACCAGCCAGCCCCCCCCCCAGCTCTGCTCTGGTCCTGCCTCCAGCCACATCCCTGGCTCTCGGCCCCACGCCTGGCCCCGTCCCCAGTCTCGGCGTGGCTCCACTTCTGGCCCACCAGCCCCGGCCCCAGTCCCAACCCCCAGCTGCGGCCCCAGCCTTGACCCCCTTAACCCTGTCCACTTTTCCCCTCTTCCCACGGAGCTGTGGCCCTGCTCCTGCCCTGGCTCCAGGGGGGTGCGACCCTCAAAAGTTTGGGGACTGCTGTTCTAGTGAAGCAGCCGAATACCCAGCAAGACTGGAAGCTTGACTGGGCTGCAGCTGGGGAAGAAGGGGAGTTTCATTGCACAAGACCTATCGCCACCTTTTAAATGTGTCCTTGTTTATTGAGGAGCACTTTCAATATAATTGAATTCTTAGCCAGTTTGCACTCATCTGTGGATATTAAACATTCATCTAATGGATTTCCAGCTTGTTATATGTAGAGCTGGCTGGCAAGAACATTTTTCAACACTTTCTTTTTGATGAAAAAGGTTATTTCAAATGGAATGAAGATTTTCTGATTTTGAATGTATTGAAATTTCCTGACAGTGTCCATGAAAAATCAAAAACTGAGCATTTTCTATATAAAGTTTCAGTTTTGTAAAACTGAACATTTTTTATCAAAAGCATTTTTTACAGAACCCCCCCCCAAACAAACAAAAAAGAATGAGAGTTGCTTACTGTTTAGAAGATGGCTTAGTCTAAGTGCTCTAACATCTATGTGCCAACTCAGAGTGTCTCAAAACTTGCTGGGCTTCGTGTGGGTATGGGGTGGAGCTAGTGGTCCAAATTTGGGGTTATTTGAGCCAGGTGTTTGTGAGATACAGCCCCCTAAAAATCACATGTACAAAAATCGCCTGGTGTGAGTGAGGTATTGTTCAAAGAGGGTCCAGTTAAGGCTGTGTTGCAGGGGTGAAAAGATGTGCTAGGAATTTTGTGCTGACCCAAGATAGACAAATAGCAGCTCAGACCCTGTCCCTGGGCGGCCCCTGCTTGAACACCCTCCAGCCCCACAACACACATGCTTGCCTTAGCTCCCCTTTGTTTCACCTCTCTAAGGAATATTGTCTCTCAGTAGGAAATCCAACAACTTTTTATTCATGTAAAGTGCCACAGACTGCAGATCCCTCGTAGGAAAACAGTTCCTCCCCGAAGTAAAACAAAGTGACAAGGCAGCAGCTCCTCAGTCCCATTCAAAAGTCACTTTTCCCAGGTCACTCACCTTACGGTCATTAATCAGTCTGTCCCCATTCCTTTAGTTCCTGTTCCAGGGCCCCACTCTCCAGGACATCCACCTTTGAGTTCCCAGACTCGCTTCTCTCCCACAAGTCTTCTCCTGTAGTCCTGAATCAGGTCTCCCATGAGAGGGCTCCCTGCAGTATTTCACTCTCCCAGGCCTCCTCACCTGTGATTCCTACCCCCTGCTCAGGGGAACCTCCCTTCAGAGCAACCCTTATTCCTGGGCTCCTCCCACAACCCTCCACTCAGGTCTTCTGCCAGAGGGCTCCTTGCAGTGTTTATACTCCCCAGACCTCCAAACCTGGGAATCCTCTTACCCCTACTCCTTGGCCTCTCCCTCTGGAGTCAGCCCCTTGCTTCTGGGCCTGCCTTCCACTGACCATGCAGATTCTTCCCCTCATTCCTAGGGGCACTGCACAAGCCTCCCCACCATTTGGCAGGGTTCCCCAGCTTTACCCAGGCCTCCTAGCAGTTTTCCTCAGAACTCAGCAGCAGCTCACAGTTTTTCCTAGATTCGTAGATTCTAAGGGACGATTGTGATCCTCTAAGTCTGACTTCCTGTATAGCACAGGCCAGAGCACTGGCCCCAAATCATTCCTAGAGCAGATCTGTTAGAAAAACAGCCCATCTTGATTTTCAGCGATGGAGGCCATGACCCTTGGTAAATTGCTAATTAAAAATGTACACCTTATTTCCTGTCTGAATTTGTCTGGCTTTCAACTTCCAGCCATTGGATTGTATTGGACCTGTCTCTGAAAGACTGAAAAGCCCGTTATTAAATATTTATTCTTCAGGCAGGTACTTCGGACTGTAATCAAGTCACTCTTTAGCCTTCTCTTTGTTAAGCTAAACCCGTTGAGCTCCTTGAGTGAGTCACGGTTTTCTAGTCCTTTAATCTTTCTCGTGGCTCTTCTCTGAACCCTCTGCAATTTATCAACGTCCTTCTTGAATTGTGGGCACCAGAACTGGACAGTGATTCACCATTCTTGCATCTGAAGAAGTGAGGTTCTGACCCACGAAAGCTTATGCTCCCAATACTTCTGTTAGTCTTAAAGGTGCCCCAGGACCCTCTGTTGCTTTTCACCATTCACAATTTCCCTTCAGCGCTTTCCCTCAGGCCACTAGCCAGTTCAACCAGGCATGTAAGCATATGCCTAACTGTAAGCATGTGACTAGTACCATAGGTCTTAAAGTCAGGCATTGAGTACCTTGTGAATGGGGTTTCAATGACAGCCTGTCCCAGAAAGCCCCTTGAAATCCATGAAAAGACTCTCCCTGGATTCCAGTGGGCTTTGGGCTTTCTGCTAAGAAACAGGAGTCAAATTCAATACTTTCAACACATTTGCCTCCTGTAAAACAGACTTTATTTTTCTTTCCATAAATCTTGTGCAATATACATCTATATCTCTATAGAATCCACCTCATTAAAAGGTCGCCCCCATACATTATAGTACTTTTATGAAAAATCCAAACAAAGCCCCCCCCCTCCTTAAATTGACATTTCCGCTCCCCCCCCCCCCCCCCAGCTGGCCAATTCGTAAGAGGAAGTTTCATTATTTTGTTAGGTTTTTTGTTTCTTTAAAAAAATAGAAATTACAATCTTACAAGACAGGACATTCAATGAGAACAGAAGTGTTTTCCTAAGTCTAAAAAGTAAAACATTTCCATAAAACCTGTCTGTACCTACAGGTGGTGGGGGTGGGATGTGTGTGTGTGTTGTGTTAGATGGAAAAATGCTTTACATTTCTTCATTTCATTCATATAGATAAAAATAACATAAGACTGACTGCAATGTTATATATTTTCTCTTTTGCACCAACATTCACAAGAATATATATTAGCCATTTCTTCTTTTTATACACAGTGCGAGGGGTCTAGAGGTGGGAAAACACACTCAGCTAAATGGTCGTATAAAACAAAATATATATATATTAGATCTTCATCTGGGAAAGAGTGAGTTCTCGCTTTTTGTTTGGTTCCGCAATTCAACTTTTTTTTTTTAAATAAAGAAGGAAAGCAAACGAATGAAACCCATCCAACTATCTAAAGCCTGCTCAGCATGGAGCTATGAGTCAGAGAAACAAGGTGTGAAATTTTCCAAAGCACCTGACTTAGGCTCTTGAGAGTCATTGTCAAAAATCAACAGAGGGTCCTGTGGCACCTTTAAGACTAACAGAAGTATTGGGAGCATAAGCTTTAAGAAGTG